TGCTGATTGGACAACCGCTTCTGCTGCAAGAGAGATAAATGTCTGGTGGGAATATACATCACTGGACTTCTGTGATTGTGGTGACACTTGTAACTAGGCATGTCCTGGACACCTCAAAGATGTATCTGTTGAGTTATGAGAGATGTTGGCTTCTTTGGGAATGAGGATTTTTAAGCCAGGGTAAGTCTTAAATCTGCCTGAGGGATGTCTTTTCCATGTACGTGAAATGACATGGGGGAATGGAGGCTCAGGGAGACGCTAGGTCCTAGGCAACAGGATGGATCATTACATGGACAGTTGTGAAGATTTTTCCAAGAGAGGAGTCCTGGGGCCATCTTCCTGGCAAGATGTGACTCCAACCCTATATATTTCTCAGTGATTCTGGTGCCAAATGCGGTTTATCTAAGTCTGAATGTCAAAGGAAACCTAGAAAGACCCCTGCCACATGCCTGTAGCTGGAGTATTCATGGCACATTGAAGGACAAGTCTGGAGCCCAGGGTGCTAGAGTGATGTGAGTGAGGAGAACAGCTGAGACCCTAGAGGCAATGGACACTTGGGCACCAGATCGTGCAAGGCCTCACAGGCCACCAAAAGAGTTGGCTTTGCTCAGAGTGGGATGGGACATGTTTGGAAGATTTTGAGTAGACGGTTGTCATAATCTGGCCTGTGTTTTAGCAAGACCTCTTCAGCTCTTGAAAGTACAGTGTTGGGGACAAGGATGCAAGAGGGGAGAACAGATTATATAGGCAGCTAGTGTGATAATCCAGGCCAGAGATTAGTTACAGGGCCTGGACCAAGGTGGTTTTGGATTGATACTGAAAGAAAAACCACCCACATTTGCTAAAAGATTGAATGTGAAATGTAAGAGAAAAAGAGAAGTCAAGTTTGACTTTAAGATTTTTAAACCTGAGAAAAGTCTGGTTTTGAGTCTAAGTTTGCAATAAATGTTACGCATCTCAGTGGAAATAAGCATCAAGATGGAAGAATCAGGAGTTCAGGAGCAGCAAGGTGATGGATCCAGGGAGAATGGTCACTCTTGATTTGGGTGGGGAGGGTTTCCCCAGAATGGGAATGATGGCTACAGATTTTACTGTGTCTTGGCTCACAACATGCATGATCTGCCTAAAAGGATGAGTAGTCCTTTCTCTTACTCACATATTCCATGACGGCAGGAAATGCAGGAAAAAGGACACAGTGAGTCATGATCTGCCTAAAAGGATGAGGAGTCCTCTCTCTTACTCACATATTCCATGATGGCAGGAAATGCAGGAAAAAGGACACAGTGA